GAAATGATTTTAGACAGCGAGAGGCAAAGTGGGAGAGAGTGAGAAAAGGAGAGCGAGACGAATGAGAAGAGGGAGGTGGACTGAGACGGTGAGAGACAAAGTGATAGAGAGCGAGCTGAATGAGAAAGCAGGGGGTAGACTGAGAGAGTGGGAGAGAGACAGAATGGTACGGCTGGTGTAAAAGCTTCTCTCCGCTCAGACAGACCCTCTTCACACCGTGTGCAGTGTGGGCCCTGGAGCGGAGACGCAGCACAACTCTCACTCTCTGTGACGGCAGCTTGTAAAGACAGATTTAGCAGGGGAGGCTGCACAGGAAGTCCGCATCTGAGATCAGTCCTGAGACCCAAGAGGCTAGTTTTGGAACTGGAGCATGTAGATCCTCAAGTGGGGAGAAATTGGTAACAATTTTGAATTTGGAAACTCATTCGACAGCAAAACAGTATAATGTGGTCTAAAAGCCTGCGACCACTTTGAAAGTGTGTGATTTAAGACTTGAAATGTTTTAAAAGAAACACCGATACAAAGAAAAACATTTACATTTGAATGTTTTTTCTAACCTGATGTTGTAGTTACAACATCTGCCAGTCTGGCTAACCGGACTATGCTAACCATCTGAATAATCACTTGATAAAACTACACTCAGACATCACAAGTCAAGTTTAGAACCTGACATGGAGTCAGTCTCATTCCTCACAAATGGAAATCAGAGGGTCCTCGGCTCATGTCCATGTGAACAATAAGAGGACAATTAGCTTGTGTCTTAATCAAGTGGAAAAAAAGAAAATACTAAAGACGTCATGGGCTATTTGAGATCGTGTGAGAGCATGATGAACGCATTAACTTGCTTTACGCCTCATAGTCTCTGGATCAGTGTGAGTAACAGAGCAATTGTGATTATATAAACAAAGTATTACTGCATCTTCTACATTGTGTGTATATATATATTACTACCTTACTGTCTTTACAACACACTAATAAACACTGTCTTAAACACTAATAATATTGTAACACTTAAAAATCTTTAAATCGACACAAAATATCTTTTTTTCACATTATAATTCATAAATTCAGTGTAATGCATAAAGTCATAAATTATGAATAAATTCACTTGTAGCATTAAAAACGAATGATTTTTAATATATTTAGATAAAATGTATAGATTTATACAGTGTTTTGTATTAGTGTGTGTGTGTGTGTGTGTGTGTGTATGTATATGTAAATATATATAAGTAACACATTGAATTAAGCATGTAGATTTGAAGTAGAAAAACTGAAGTTGTATTGTCTTGTAAAACATACTCTGGTAATCCTTGTTTTATTTACAACTTTGAAAAAAAATTTACAGTGTAGCTAATCTTATTGTTTGTGGATTTCCTGTTTTTCTTATCCACAGCTGCAGTTAAATCGATGTCTTTTCTAATGTTGATGGAAAGACGCAACTGTAAATCAGAGTCATTGTTTGGTCTTAAAAGATTAAGTCTTAAAAGCATTTTATTCAAATTGGCTCAATTAAATGAATCATTGTAATTCAAACCTTGGTTTGCTTTTTTTAAGTGGTGAATAGAAAGAAACATGCTTTTCTTTTTTTATTCTAGAACACAGTCAGAACAGCCGTGATATGCTGTCATGGGGATCAGACAATGAATGTGCACGCCTGTGGGATTTTGATTTCAGCCAGCTTTGCCACTGCTGTTGTATGAATGTATTAATAATAATTATACATTCCTGTGACAGCAGATATCTGTGTATGTGTGAGAGAGGGCTAGTTTGAACACTGTTTTTCTTTTGCTCTCTACTGGAACATACTTGAGAAAAAAATGGTAAAAAGATGTTATTTATTAAAGATGTCTTTCACATGACCACAGATGGTCTTTAAGAGATAGATCACCCAAAAAATGTAAATTCTGCCAATATATACTCAACCTCATGTCATTCCAAACATTGTTTTTTTCACAAAAGTATTTATGAATGAATGAATATTGTATGGCCAAAACCTTTTTCAAAATATTTTATTTTGTGTTCTACAGGGAAACAAAATACTCAGTACTGATCAAAGAGACACAAATACAGATCTGGAAAAACATGGTGACAGAATATAAATTTTTGGGTGGTCTATACCTTTAAGAGACATTGGTCCTGCATTTGTATGACTGGTATGTATATCTGCATCTGTTGACCTGATTCAGAGTCAGGACAGATTAGCATTTACATTACAAATCCAATATGGTCACATGCATTTCCAATGTGCATTTACTGTGATCAATCGCTATCCGTCTGTGATGCAATCACCAATAACACATTAATGCCAGGTGTAAAGGGAGCCATAGCGTCCCACTGCAATCAGCACCGTGTTATCCTAGCAGATTGCTAGTGAGTTTACGATCATTTAGTCACTGAGAGGATGATGCCGGACCCCGACAGAGAGACTGAGAGAGCGGCGGGAAGCGAGAACTAGCGAAGGAGCAGTGTGGGAATAATCCACTCCCACACATCAGCGTGAAGAGTCTCTGTGCATCTGGATGGGTGTGCGTGTGTAATTGGTTTTCTGCTACAGAGATGAGCGTTAGCATGTTCCGCCAGGCAGGTTGCAGCCAACTGCGTCATGCCTGACTCTCTGGAGTCAATGACCTCGGGAATAAAAAACACGCACACATGGCGGCTGGGCACCAATTAACATCTCTTTTTCCCCCGTGTGCCGTCTTTAACTCTCTCTGTTATGTCTCTCTCCGCTTTTGTTTTACCATTACTCTGCATACGCAAAGGCAGAGCGTTTTGCTCATGGGAAAGAGTAGGATGACGTACACTACCGTTCAGAAGTTTGGGGTCAGTAAGATTTTCTCTTATGCTCACCAAGGCTGCTGTTATTTGATCAAAAATACAGTAAAAACAGTAATATTGTTAAATATTATTATGATTTAAAATAACTTACCTAGGCTATTTTACTATGTTTAAAAATGTAATTTCTTCCTGTGATGGCAAAGCTGAATTTTCAACAGCCATTACGCCATTTTTCAGGGTCACATGATCCTTCAGAAATCTGAAATTCTAATATGCTGATTGGGTGCTCAATAAACATTTCTTATTGTTATTGATGTTAAAATCACTTGTGCTGCTTAATATTTAGTATTTTTTTTGTAAACCATAATACATTTTTTTCCCATAATACAAGGATTTTTGATGAATAGAAAATTCAAAAGAACATAAATTTATTTGAAATATAAATCTTTTGTAACATTGTAAGTGTCTTTACTGTCAATTTTGATCAATTTAATGCATCCTTGCTGAATAAAAGTAAAAAAACAAAATCTGACTGACACCAAAGTTTTGAAATGTAGCATATACAGTACACCAAAAACTGATTTGGAAAATAAGAGAAAAGGGAACAAAAGGGAAATCGAGACCTAGCAGTTTCTTTTGACTTTGGCCACCTAGCAATGGCCTAGTAACTGCATAGAAACACATAAAAAACACCCAGAACATTTTGCCACCAAATATAAGCGAGATTTGCACAATAACCACTCAGAGTTTCTTTAATAAATGTAAAAGCCTTTTGACAGACCAACACAAGAGACATTAAGCTGGACTCATGAATTAAACTAAATAGAGAGAGTGAGATAGTAGTGAAATTAGAGAAGAGAGGCCATCTGTTCCAGTTTGTGCAGATCGGCGTGGAGTGGAACACAGCAGGATCATGTCCTCAAAACACACAGAGAATGTTAGAGAGGCAAAAAGAGTCCAAACGTGAAAACAAACCTTATCTGACCTGTAGTGTTGACGTCCACAGAATCTGTCCATTCTGACAAGTGCTTAACATCAAACCTCTACAATACAAAAAATAGCACGTCTCTTTCTTTCTTCTTTCTGCCTTCTCTCCTACTTCTCTCCTTGTCCCTCTCTACATTATTATCTGTTATTAAAAGAACTTTGAAGTACTTCAAGACTCAAACAAACTAAAGTGTCCATTCGCCCTCTTTCGGTTCATTTCAGAGTGTTTTTAATGCAGTGATTAATGGAATATTATTCATTAGTGGCCTTGAGTGAAAATCAAAAATGCCTTGCTTTCTTTTGTCTGTTTTTGTAGTTTTGTCACGCTGAGTCAGCCATTTATGAAATCTCATAAACATTAGTACATATGATCTGGTACAGATTTGGCATTTATGGAATTTATGTTTTTACATATTAACTTCCTACCTAGATGTTATCAAAATCATGCTGATTATAAATTGCATTTCTTCTGTTGCATCCCATACCGAAAGTACCAATAAAAGCTTATCATTCTAATTTAATATGTGCTTGTTTAACCAGTATTTTTTTGTTTGCAATGTTTGTTTTTTTTTGCACATGGACTTCACTCAAAAATTTCATCTGAGAAACTTCCTCAAGATTTAATTTCGTGCTGCACAGGAAGTTGCAGTGGTTACCAAAGCTAAATTTGAAAGGAGTCATGCATAGAGTCCATTAGGGTACCATGTGGTCACTTCTGAGGTTTTAGTTCAGGTAGAAAGCTGTCTTAAAAGGCCTATATAGGGCTCAACAAAAAATAATTTATTTATTTTGGCTCAATCAGGCCAGTGGCTCAGATTTTTACTTGCCCTAGATGGCAAAATTTTTCTTTCCCTAGCTTTTCAACATTTTGGCAACACTATTCCTATTCACTCATAAAAACAAAGGTTCCAAAAGGAGGTTTTCACAGTGATGCCATAGAAGAACCATTTTTGGTTCCCCACAGAACCTTTCAGTGAACAGTTTTTTCTTAGTGTGAAGAACATTTTAAAAATCTAAAGAACATTTCTCCACTTTGAATAACCCTTTTGTGGAATGGAAAGGTTCCATGTTAAAGGCTCTTCATGGAACCATAGATGCCAGAATCTTTGCTTTTAAGAATGTTGTTGAACTCCGCAATGTAGACATCACGTTTTTGGAAACAAGAGCTTACAAAAAGCATAGAAGTTGGAATGGATTATGTTCTAATCTGTCATTTTCTCACTTTTCTCCTCTAGCTGGAACAGAAGCAGGTGACGCCACCATTCAAACCTCAGATCACAGACGACTATGGTTTAGACAACTTTGACACGCAGTTCACCAACGAACCCGTGCAGCTAACACCAGACGACGAGTAAGTATTGAAAAATGTTATGCTTGGCCGAAAGGCATTGCATTACCACAGAGGATCAGTAAAGATCTCTGACAGAAGAATCACTCCACCTGTTTTCCAACAACTTGTTCAGTTGCTAAAAACCGCTAATACGACTGGACTCGTGGTGTTTGGTAAAATGTGTCCAGATTTGAATTATGAAAAGACAAACTGGCATCTTGTAACACTGTAACATCTTCCAAATATTTAAATGAAAATTAAAGTCAGTCGTCACTTCTGCGGAATCCATCTTGAGAGCGATTATGTAATAATTTAACGACTTCAAAGTTACATGACTGCACCAGCAGAAGATTTAGGCGTTTAATAACGGGGGTTTCCACTCAGCTTGATTCTGCTGGTCAGGATGGTGAGGTTTATGTCTAAGATTCCCCTTCAGAAGTGAGAGCGAGATGAAGTGAAATGGTTTACCCATCTGGAGGCTATCGTCAAGAGGTGGTGATGTCATATAGAAACATCCCCTCTGGAGTTTCTGATTGCTTTACAGTATGAGGTGCACCGAAAAGGGCCACATTGAAAGGGAGGACAAAGAACAGCTCTTAAATGGTGAAAACCTGATGCCGAGAGGCATTAAAAACCAGAGATTCATGTGAAAACTGGCTTTAATGAGTGTGAAGTGAGTTTCTAGGGGGGCTTTTATGCATTCAAGTCTTTTCTTTGCTCGCTCATTCATAAACTCGGTCCTTTTGAATACCGCAGTGATTAACACAAGTGCTAAAATAAGAGAAGGCTAGTCAACTCAATGCAAAAAATGTGCATTTATTTGATGGTGGAGGATTGTAGGTTGACTCATGGCATGTCTGAATACATTTGGGTCAGTTGTTGAGGTCTCGCCCCATTTCTCTCAAGAGATTCTTCGGACATTCCAGTCATTCTGCGTGGAGAAAAATCACGCCGGGCTTTGAGACGTATTGTTCTGTAGAGGTGCATTTCTCTGGAGAGGGACTCCAGTCTTCACAATGACTTTTATATCCTGGCTGAATTTGTTATTCTGATTTGATCTATAGAGACAGGCAATCCTTAAGCTTCTAAAAAGGATTCCTGTTTTCAATTTACATTAAATGGAGCTCCAAAAATGCAGCTCCTATACAGGACGGCATCTTTGATTAACAATGTGATTTGGTACCGTGACTGAAATGCATTCCGTTATCGACAAAATCTGAGAGCTGTGCATTTAAAACGTACAATTCTTCTTACCAGGGTTAGAAGAATTAGCTTCCTTTCAGTTGAATTGGATTGGATCTGTCTATCATTCTATATCTTTCGTTCCATCTATCTATCTATCTATCTATCTATCTATATCTATCTCTCTATCTATCTATCTATCTATCTATCGTTCTATCATTCTATCTATTGTTCTATCTATTGTTCTGTCATTCTATCATTCTTTCGTTCCATCCATTCTTGTTCTATCATTCTATCTACTGTTCTATCCATCCATGTGAGTTTCAATACATTTTACTTCTACTTCCTTAAACGGATAGTTCACCCAAAAATGAAAATTCTGTCATTATTTACTCACCCTCATGTCGTTCCAAACCCGTAAGACCTCCGTTCATCTTCGGAACACAAATTAAGATATTTTTGAAGGAATCTGAGAGCTCTCTGACCCTCCCATAAACAGCAAGGGTCCTTACACGACCAAGGTCCAGAAACGTAGCAAGGAGATCGGTAAAATAATCCATGTGACCTCAGTGGTTCAACCGTAATTTTACGAAACTACGAGAATACTTTTTGTGTGCAAAGAAAACAAAAATAACAACTTAAGACCTCCGTTCATCTTCGGAACACAAATTAAGATATTTTTGAAGGAATCTGAGAGCTCTCTGACCCTCCCATAAACAGCAAGGGTCCTTACACGACCAAGGTCCAGAAACGTAGCAAGGAGATCGGTAAAATAATCCATGTGACATCAGGGGTTCAAACGTAATTTTATGAAGCTACGAGAATACTTTTTGAGCGCAAAAGAAAAAAAAAAACGACTTTATTCAACAATTCGTCTCCTCTGCATCACCCAGCTCCATTTTGGAGAGTATCCACTGAACGTAAATTGCGTATGCTGTTTTGTGTCAGCTGTGCTACGCGGATATGCTGTTTACGTCATTTATGCTTTGATTTGAACAAAAACAAGGTATACGCGTGGCGCAGCTGACACAAAACAGCATATGCCATTTACGTTCAGTGGATACTCTCCAAAATGGCGCTGGGTGATGCGGAGGAGACGAATTATTGAATAAAGTCGTTTTTTTTTTTCTTTTGCGCTCAAAAAGTATTCTCGTTTTTAATTTATGACACAATTTTCATTTTTGGGTGAACTATCCCTTTAAATTTAAATTAAAGTTTGATGCAATTCTGCATCCTGTTTACTACCTCAATTCAAATTGAATTTGAATTCAGGCATTCTCAGTTCAATTCCGAATGGAGTGCAACCCAAGTGCTTATGAATGAGGTCATCCAGTATCTTGAGGTGATTTGATATTTTCACTCCACGAGAAGCTCAAGATGCACTTCATTGAACTATGAACACTAACTGTTGAGCACACAATCATTGCAGTCTACAAGCCAATTGAAGTCAATTTGTCGGTAAACTTGTCACTCATAATTAACAGAACGCAAGTGGGCTGCAGTCAGATGAACTGACAGACAGTAATCTATAGAGCCACGGCGGGTTCTTAGTTCAATACGAGATTTTCCAAGCAGGCTTCAAAGGAACGCAGCAGCCAGACACTTCAAAAGCGGAGCGAGCTCTGGAAAAGCCTGACGTCCCACACGGTGGAGGAGAGGAGGAGGGGGAGGAAGTGATGGAAGCCTTTTTTGTTTGACGGATCTGGCAGACGAAAAAAGAGTGTGGGGGGTGAAATCCTTCCTTGTAAGAGATTTAGTCTTTTGGATTAAAGGAAAGTGCGTCCAGAGAGGGATGTGTCTCAGAGCGCAGCGGAAAAGGATGAACTGGAATCCACCGCGACTAGAGACACGATTCCCTTTTACATGCTCACACAAATGGCTTATAAAGGAACTTGGATTCCCAATGCATTATTATCTAGCTTTGTTTTACACAAAGTACGCTACCGGTCAAAAGTTTAAGGCCAGTAAGATCATTCAAAAACATTTAAAATGTCACAAAATATTTATTTTTCAAATAATGCTGTTGTTTTTAACTTTAAATTTCTGTAAGAGTCTTGAAAAAAGGTTGCGCAAAAATATAAAAGAGCACAAATATTTCAAACACAAAATCAGCATATCAGAATGATTTCTGAAGGATCATGTGAAGACTGGAGTAATGGCTGCTGAAAATGTAACTTTGCCATCACAGGAATGAATTACATTAGAAAATATTTTCAAATTAAAAGGTTACTTTAACTTGTAGTACTATTTCTGAATATTACTGCATTTTTGATCAATCTTTTTCGACCCCAAACTTTTCCTAGTGTGCATTTTTAATGGCCACTAATAAGTGTATTATCTACATACCTTTCAATTAAAGTCATTCCCTTTCATAACAAATGTTCGCATTACTAATCTTATGTTTTTAAACAGGTCGCGTGAAAGGAAATGTAGAAACTATTTTTACCAAATGTTTTTTGGTAAAAATAGTACCAAAGCTTGCTTGCTTTCTATCTTTCAAATAAGTTCCACCTTGTAATTCTTTTCTGAAGAAACATTTGTGCTGTAAAGAGGCTTGTTTATTTTGGTCAGTGCCCAGGATGTCCGTCTTTTAGTGTTTCTTCCTCTGCGGCATCACACATTTCCCCCCTGCACTCCCTTTGAAACCTGAGCCTGATATTACGACATAGAGGTGTCATTCATGTTATTTTAGGTTTCACTCTTGCTGGAGGCATTTCGACCCCACACACACCCACATACAGTCAAGTGGCCCTCTGGGGACTTTATTCAAACAGACACAGCACAAACACAATTCGGCACTGATCCCGGATCTGGTGAAATATTAGTTCTTACAGAGCTTGTTATAGAGGAGAATTGTCCTCCACGGACCGTGTTTGACAGAACGTGATAAACGAGTTTTGAATCGGTTCAGCATTACGCCATAGAAGAGGTGGAGCACTATAGCAGTGCGGTATCCTCAACAGGCTGATAAAATAGATCAATGGATTCCTGAGGTTCTGAAGAGCAAGAGGTCTGATTTCAGCAAGAATGTTACCATCTCTTTAGACATGTAAAGGATCACTGCCATTGCAGAAAATAGCCAAGAGGAGAAAGACACTGCTGAATTTCTCAATTGTACTCCAGTGAAATTCTGTCTGCCCACTGCTGTAGTTAGAGCCCCCTTTGTGGTTAACCAGCCCCTCGACGCAGATGAAGAAAGGTTGTTATTGTTGTTTCTGGTGGGCAGTCTGCATTTACAGATGTGCTCATAAATTTATATATCCCCTGCAGAATCTGTAAAATGTGTGGCCTTTTTGAAAGAAAAAAAAAATAGATGCAATCTCAAAAAAATCAAATAAAAATAAATGAAAAATGATTACTCAGCACTGCCCTGAAGAAGTAACATACCAGTAATGTATACACTATTTCGAATGTTTGGGGATAGTAAGATTTGTTTAATGTTTTTGTTCACCAAGGCTACATTTATTTGATAAAATATACAGTAAAACAGCAATATTGTGAAATATTATTACAATTTAAAATAACTATTTTCTATTTTAATACATTTTAGCAGTGTTGTCAAAGCGATTAATCGCGATTAATTGTATATATAAATACACACACATGCATGTATATTTTAAAGAAAAAATATAAATATATATTACATATACTTCTTATATACATGTATGTCTGTGTATTTAAATACATATATATTTCTATGTATATTATAAATATAAATATTATATTACATATATTTCTTAAATATATACATGTATGTGTATTTATACAAATATACACAACTCTAGTCTTCATTACTGACCCATACTTTTAAATATAAGCATGTATTCTTTAAGAAAATAGATATTGTGCATTTTTTATTTAATTTTGTGGAAAAATGTCTTAATTCTTAATTTTCCAGTCGACCAAGTAGTGAAAGTATGAAATGAAATATTAAAAATATCAGCTGTATTTAATCAGACTGGAAATAAAAGGTCAAATTGAGCATACTCTTCTTGACAATGTTTGCAACTGTTAGCTGTTCTCGCATAATTGCCTCCTTAGGTTTAATCTCTATATTCCTCATTTGAATAAACATGTCAGTTAAATGAATAAATGTAGATGTGATGCCAGCAACTATTTTTTTTTCTCTGCAATGCCTTATTAGCACCTAACAGAAATTCAATTCATCAAACTACGCCTTCACTTTTCCCCTAATTTTTGCTTTAAGCCACAGTGCGGGACATGTAGAGTTGAATTGTAGCTCTTCTATTAATAATGTTGGTTTCTCTCCTCAGGGATGTGATAAAGAGAATAGACCAGTCTGAGTTTGAGGGATTCGACTACATTAATCCTCTGCTGCTCTCCAATGAAGAAACCGTATGAGGGAAGAACAATACGGCTGTTTCTCTGCCTGCGGCTCCACAAGACTACTACAGCTGAGTTCAGCTCAGACTCAGACATGTGTCACAGAGAAGAACTTTCCTTAAAACTGTGTTAAAGACAAAAAGCAACACCAAGACTTAAAGTTTCGGACCCTGCTTGAGTTATTTTGGGGTTACACTGGAAGAAGAAACGACTGGAGGATCTTCAGAAAACAAACTCAGAACTATTCCCCAAATTTCAGCTGTTGATTGTCTTCCTGCTTCCCAGCATCCTCTTTCATTTTCACGCCCATGTTTGTGTGTGCGCGCGCACTGTTGCCTGGGACTCAAGTTAGTTCCTTCGATGTGTGCCTGCGTCCATCAGAGACTACATTTCCCATCAACCCTAGCTAAATATGACCGTTCTAAAGGGATAGTTCACCCAAAAATGAAAATTTGATGTTTATCTGCTTACCCCCAGGGCATCCAAGATGTAGGTGACTTTGTTTCTTCAGTAGAACACAAACGAAGATTTTTAACACAAACCGTTGCAGTCTGTCAGTCTTATAATGGAGGTGAATGGGAATCACGGCTTTGAGAGTAAAAAAAACATACACAAACAAAACCAAATTAAACCCTGTGGCTCGTGACGATACATTAATGTGTAAAGACACAAAACGATCGGTCTGTGCAAGAAACTGAACAGTATTTATATAATTTCTTACCTCTGATTCACGCAATGTCCGAACTGTCCTGAGCGGCGGCGTGTCCTCCTGAGCGCGTTCTCAACAGCAGGCACGTGAGGTGTCGCCTTCTTCTTGCTTTACGGCGGATCGCAGACTTATAAGTGCATTACCGCCACCTATTTCTCAAGTAGACCATTGACACTCTATCTACAATCTCAATTGGGAGAGGTAAAAAACTATATAAATACTGTTCAGTCTCTTGCAAAGACCGATCGTTTTGTGTCTTTACACATCAATGTATCGTCACGAGCCACAGGGTTTAATTTGGTTTTGTTTGTGTATGTTTTTTTTTTACTCTCAAAGCCGTGATTCCCATTCACCTCCATTATAAGACTGACAGACTGCAACGGTTTGTGTTAAAAATCTTTGTTTGTGTTCTACTGAAGAAACAAAGTCACCTACATCTTGGATGCCCTGGGGGTAAGCAGATAAACATCAAATTTTTATTTTTGGGTGAACTGTCCCTTTAATGTGCACTTTTATTTTGTTCGATTTGGTTTTTATTTTTTGGATTCTCTTTAATCTTGTATGAGACTCGTCCTCAAGCGAAACAAGAATGTATAATGTTTAAAGGTTAAAAAAAATGTTGTATTATAGTGTAGGTAACCAATCGAAGAATTTATGATGCCTTCTATGATGCAAAGTGGCACATTTTAATTCATGACCATGATGGTTTCATCCACAGTGGGTAGCTGTGCTTCAAACCGCAAGCTTTTAACCACCCATGTTGGTTTTATAGAGTAAATGGGAGATAAAATGTGTTTTTTGAAGAAGTGCCTCAAAGATCCAAAATTCACCATGCTCCAAACTGCTCTGAACTCCACGTTAGATAGAAGTTGGTTGCACCATCCAATGAGAAAGTGGGCTGCAGGTGTTGTTATTATTATTATTTACATAACACAAACACACTGATACATATGTTGAAACAAAACATTAAAGTTAGACACTGAATGATCACAAAGCCCAAATACATCAGACCTGCAGCAATATAACCAACCTAGGTTTATTGGAAAAACGTTCCTCTATCCATGTTTTTGCGCAAATTATGGTTATGGGGCAGATTACTAATTAATAAGGACTTTTTTTGTACAGTTCCTTGCACAATACTATGTTATGACCTCAAAACACTTTTATGGTGCATGATTTGTAACACATTTTTAAATTTGTACCACATAACCTACTGCATATGTATGGTTTTTCCCACATAGTAAACTTGCTCGGTAGCTCACCCGGTACAGCACTGCACAAGTCACAATAAAAGAGCTTGAAGACTTGTAGAAGCTAGCTAAAATCACTCATGTTTACTTTAATTAGGTTTAGGGTCAGTACGTTATTTTCAAATGCGATAGAGCATTAACCTCACCGGACATTTCATTTCCGAACCACCACATTACAAAAAAGCAACCAACATAAAATGCTGCCAGATTTACATTCATCTATCTCAGATAAAACTGAATGCACTTTTAGCATTTCACGTTGAAAGTGTCATGAAACATTCAAAAACAACATAATATAATTTTGCATAAATGTCGCCATAGGCACGTTTTTTCCAATGAGCCTGGGTTTATTATTACAGTAGAATTCAATACAACCGCACACTATATTACTAAAATGGCTGCTCCTCACTCCGATACGAGGGTTTTATGTTGTTGTACTCATGTGATCTGTCAATAACGTGCTGTTGAGACGTTGTGGAGAGCGAGAGAACACAAACAAGAGTTTGTACGTCATGTCGCTGGTGTTGTGTGGTGGAAAGATTGTGCAACAGTGATGTGACTGAATCTCAGATGACCTAAACGCATGGTGGAAGTTGCAGTCAGATGCTTAAATTTAACCCACTGCAACACTTAATATCAAACGCAACACTTAATATCAAACAGTTAGCGCAGAATGCTAATCTTGTATCATTCAGTGACAGGTTGTGTTCGGAATGGAGTTCTAGCCTACTACTGTACTTGTAGAATATACTGTATTCGGTCTACTATTTTTATTAAGACTAGGTGAAATGATTGTCAATATTCCATGATAAACACTTTTCAGACATTAGTAAGCTACACCGTCACGTTACCTTGTGATGTTGCATATAAGCAACTAATAATGACTATTTTGTATTTTAAAATCAATTTTGTGTAAAAATGCTGTGAGTGTTTACAGTTAGGCAAAATAATAAGCCAAAAAAAAAAAAGAGTTGGAAATGGAAGGTCAAGTTGTGTGTATTGCATTATGGGATATGTTATTCTGCACTGTGTGTGTCTTGGCAAATGTAGTAGGTCATCTGGGTATCCCATGCATACTGTGCACAGTATACATACTGCAGAGATCGTGAGAGTAGCATGTTAATAGCCGTACACTCCTACACGCAACCATGTCTATTTAAATTCCAGGCCACACAAAAAAGCTCTTAAAAATGAACTTCAAAATCCGTAATTTCCCTTTAAAGAGAAAAACAGCCAATCACAGGCTAGCTTGACTGATTATAACTCCATTTATAGTAATTTACTTATGTGTGCAGAAAAAAATAAACCACTGAGGAATAGTTTGTGGTAGTAAGCTGTCGGCTAACAAGCACACACAAACTGTGAGGTCACCAGGTCTCAAATTTGACATTCCTGTGACAATTTACAGTACGATTCCAAAAGACAGACCCCCCCCCCAACGCCACTCATTTCCAGTTGCATTCATTTGTTTGTATTCCCTTTCCCTTCAAGACTCCTTCCTTTCTGCTCTAATCCCTTTTCCAACCCAGACGGCTTGATGCTTCCCAGCAGCAAACCTCAAAACCATTCTGCGAATCTATGCGTGCCAACCCACCCTGATCCCCTCCATCAAGATTTCCATCTCCTCATCACCAGTCTTGCCCTCGACTCATATCGACACCCTCGGAAACTCGCTCTCTATATCTGCCCCTTTCTCTATCTGTCCTACCCTAGACAAGAGTGTTCATTGTGTCTCTCTCACGGGGCCGCCTGTGTTCTGCTGTGCTCTGCAGTCTGGCCAATGTACACACGGCGGGCAGAGAGCGGGCAGCGGCACACGCCAGCCCTGCGCTCGCAACAAAGTGCTGCCTTGTTCTGCGAGGTTCGGCGCTGCCCACCACGCCGAAGGAGCGCTGCTCTCAGACCTCGCAAGAATCTGGTGACTTTTTGACCCGTTTTGATGAATAACTGTCCTTCTTAGACTTTCTCTTCCTCCTCTCTTTAAGTACACTCACAGTCGCCGTGTTTCAACATAGTGTTTCCTCTTTCTGAGAAGTGCTCCAAAGTTCATGGGCAGAAAGATTCATAAACAGCTTTTTTGGAGAGTTGGCATTGGGTAAAGATGACAGCAAGGGGAAAATGACACCTATAAAAGCCTGTAGCACTGGTATATGAATTTACAGGATATATAACAGTTCCATTTAGTTTTTTAATTCAACATCAAGATTTTAGCTTAAAAAGTATATGAATCTGCAATCAAGTTCAATTTGTTTTCATAGGTTAAGTATTAAGTATGCATTAATCACGAACTGACAAAAAAATACATATTTTTGTACAATTATTAATGTAGGTCCAAGTTAATTTCTGCATATATTTTAACATTTCAAGTTGTATAAATTAACAGTAGTTAAAATTAGTTAACATGAACTAAGAATGAACAAACAATAATTCTACAGCATTTATTAGTCTTAATGTTAATTTCAACATTTACTAATAAAATGTAAAACCAAAAGTTGTATTTTTTAAACATACTTAATGCACTTTGAACTAACATGAACAAACAATGAACTATTGCATTTCTAGATTATTGAATGTTGGAAAAAATATTGCTCACTGTAAGTTCATGTTAGTTAATACATTAACCAATGTTAACAAATAAGACCTTACTGTGTTACAAAATTAACATTAGTTTATGTATTACGAATAAACGTGAATTAACAATGAACATTAAACTCTTTTAACTTAAATTTGTGAATTTCTAAAATAACATTAAATTAGATCATACTGTAAGTGAATCTGCAGTGTCAAAAACAATTTTTTGTACTTTATCTTTATATTAATAATTTATATAAAAAGATTAAAAGTACAAATATTCCATGTAGTCTCTCAATTAATAAGAACTAAAAATCGTGTAATTATATAAGAAAATGTTACATTGTAAGATTTCAACTTTGCCCGATTTAGATCAACTTTCCAAAAGTAATTCTATTTAAACAACCCAAATAACAAAACTCATCATTCTCAAAATGCAGACTGATTTTTAAATTGTTTGCCATAAAGTAGCAGGGTATTTCCATCTGAAACAATCACTGTACTACCTCATTACTGTTTAAGTCCCAGAATTCAATGTTATGTGTTGTGTAATACTTTGCATACTTCATACTACAAAACAACAAAAACAGCTGCTAAACGTTGCTATGCTCATCAATCAAAATAAAGAATCAAGTGTTCATAAAGCATCAAATGACTATAAATCCCATCTGAACTGGATCCTCTGCTCTACATCTGCAGCGATGACATCACATCCAGCAGTGAGTTACATAAGCGTGGCTGTGATATCCATCTCGCAGCGCTCCACCAGCACCCAAGGTGCAAACACTCAAATACATTTCCTTTAGGGAAAATAAAATGTCTTTCTCCAGCAAATGACTCATTTTATTTTGGCCATTTGAAAGAGGTGATAGAATGCATGATTCTATCCACCAACACTTCATCTTACAGCCTAGCGAAGCTGTTTTGCCAAGGGGTTCATGAGAGTGAGCGCATGTATGTTCTGGCTTTACCTAAAGAGTCAGCTAAACATCTCTAGTGCCAAAGCTGATCTCAGTCTTCTACTCTCTGCTGTTCCAGAACATGCATCTACTCTACAGTGAGAGCAGATCACATCCCCTGCATCCTCACTTGAGTTGCTGTTCTGCAAAACACCTGAATTCAGAGACTTTTTAATGGGCTTCTGAGAAATGAGAACTTGAGGGAAGAAGAAAAAAATAACTTTTGTAATACAAGTGTAATTTTATTCACAACGATTTCTAATTGGATTATTTGCTCAAACTTAGCTGGCCATTCAGCTGCCAAAAGCAATGCCAAACTGAGGAATGTTGGGATATTGTAGATGTTATGCATTGGATATTTCGTGGCAGTCACACGCAATGTGATATTTTGGGTTGTTTAAGCATTACATGCTATTGATATTGTTGTCATCTTTGGTTCTGCATTGTGAAATCAATGAACTTTGTGGATTTTTTGACCTATTTATATGAAATGTTCACTCACCCTGCAGGAAATGGCATCAGACACATTGGGCAGCACTCCAGTCCTGATCCAGATGCTGCTCCAGTTCCTTCTGTTCCAGATGTTGTTCCCAGTTCTGATCCAGATGCTGTTCCGGATCCTTCTGCTATTAATTTAGTTCCCAGTCCTGATCCAGATGCTGCTCCAGATCCTTCTGTTCCGGATGTTGTTCCCAGTTCTGATCCAGATGCTGCTCTAGATCCTTCTGCTCCTGATTTTGTTCCCAGTCCTGAACCAGTTGCTGTTCCGGATCCTTCTGCTATTAATTTTGTTCCCAGTCCTGATCCAGATGCTGCTCCAGATTCTTCTGTCCCTGATTTTTTCCCCAAATTCAATCCAGATTTTGTTCCCTGCCCCAATCCAGGTCCACTTTCTCTTGAATTTGTTCCCAGCCCTGACTCAAATCCTCCTAGCCCTGATTTTGCTCTCTGCCCTGATCCAGATCCACTTGCTCCGTGTTTTGTTCCCATGCTTGAAACTGCTTCAGATATTGTTCTTAGCCGTGATCCAGATCCTCCTGCACCTGTTTTTACCCCCTTCCCTGGTCCAGATTCTGCATCCAATCCCACTCCACATTTTGCTCCCAGCACCAATCCAGATCCTCTTACTCCTGATTTTGCTCGCTGACCTGCTCCAGATTTTGCTTTCTGCCCTGATCCAGATCCACCTGTTCCTTGTTTTGTTCCCATGCCTGATACCAATCCTTCTGCTTCAGATATTGTTCTTAACCATGATCCAGATCCTCCTGCACCTGCTTTTGCCCCCTTCCCTGCTCCAGATTCCACATGCAATCCTGCTCCAGATCCTCTTGTGACTTTATGCGTTTCTGAGACTTTCCCCACTTGGTCAAATTTGTCACTCTGTTCGTCTGACAATTCATGACCCTCAACGCAATTGACTTTGTCTTCTAGGTGGCGCTGCTGAGCAGTTTGTACGTCACATACTGACACACTCTCCTGATCAGGTGAAGATGCATGATTCTCTTGATCAGCGATGGCTGGTGGACTACATTCTCCCATGTTCTCTGCTGCTGGAGGTTGTGAAGGGTTCTTGACCTCATTCACTGGTTGTGGGTTGTTGAGGAAAGACGGAGCGGGCAAATCCGGAGGGGGATTAACATCTTCATCTGCACTGCACCATCTCCAATCACTTACTTTTTGTACAGGAGTTTTCTGAAGAAATCGAGATTAATCACACTGTATTACACAAATTATCACGCTAAATTAAATTAGATGCTTCCTTTAGCAACATAATATACACATTTTACACAAAATGTGCTGTTTGGATACCAGCTTTGTTAGTGGTTCTGAAGAACAGCCAAATAAAAGTATGAAGTCATGACAGCAAACACATCTAAACCCAAACTGACATGTGACAGAGAGACAGTGAAAAACAACTTATGCCAGAAAACCATTATATTTGCATATTTTTCAACAACAACAACAAAAAAAAGAGACATTCATTTGTTTTGCTTTTTAACATTGTATACATTTTTAAAGATAAATGCTAAGGAAATTATGTTTATTTGGCAGCAAATTATTTTTTAAAGGGAACAAATTATTACATAGAATTACTAAAGAAATACTATTAAAAAGGTCAATGACAGGAGGTGCTTATTTACCTACAGAAAATGTTGATTGTCACCATCAGGAGATTAAACTACATATTATATATTTATATGGAAAAACTGAATATAAAATATAATTTTTGTAAACCTGATACCAAAATATCAAATTTAAAACTAAATAATTTCTAGTAAATATTTGTTTTCCATAAAATACAATTTAAAATGTAAATTTTATTTTATGTCCATAAAATTAAATTAAATTCAATCAACAGAATTAATTAAATATTTTAAACTAAAATTCTGATATTGCTTTATGATTTTAACGGTTTGGGATTTGTACCTCAAATGTAATTTGTTGTGTTTTTAAGTAATGAGACACCAAAGTGGACCCATTTCATGGAAAATGTAATTTATTAAATAAACATGTTGCCCAGGACAACACACCACAGCCTTGTTGCCAATTCTGGAAAGGACTATTTAGTACTGTCCATCCTCTCATCTCCATGGAAAATAACATCGAGCCTACTTTTCCCATGTACAGAGGAAAATCTGAGATTCAAGGTCTCAGAGTTAGAGGGTGGGTCCTGCTTTTAAAGACAGTGATATATTATTGGTAACTCATAAGTGACATTTTGGTGAAGGGAATGAAGTGTTTAGGAAGTGACGGTATAAGGTCATCTCTAGACTTACAGTGTCGATTTGCATCCAACATCCATTTCAGGACAAAATGCAGGAATTATTCATACTGTATGAAATAGGGTCATGCATGAGACTCAATAAATACTACAATGTATATTAAATACGGCATGTTGAACCTTGTAACTACTCCAAACAGATCTACAAACACAGAGCCCCTCCCTCTTCCATGATAACCATTGATGATAAGCTGATCTATTACCGTGGATGAAGGTGGGGGGAGCTGTGGAATACATTCTTCCTGATCAGACTGCAGGGCTGGGCAAAAAGCCCTCAAGGTAAGAGCCCAGAGTCTTTCCACATCACTTAATTCAGAACTCTCCCACCATCTCGCCCTGCAGGATTCAACAGAAAATAATATTAAGTCAAAATATCGTTACAATATGTTACAGAAATGTATATTATATTATATTACAGTATGAAGAGAGCTTCATTCGTTGAGTATTAACTGCCGTGACATTAGACTTCGTACCTGCCTGTAACGTTAGAAGTTTTGCTGCAGCTGCTATCCTGTTCTGCACTCAGACTGCCATTTGACTTTTTGATCGTCGTCTGCTGCTCGCATCTACTCTCCTCAATCGCTGATTTCTTCCTCTTTAGTTTAGACATCGCAGTCATTCGGTTGTAAACACTGCATCTCCATCAAACGCACATGGCTTATCCAAACAATGAAAACTACGCGGGAGTTTCTTTGAACTACTTCCGTGTTTGGTCACAAAAGTTTTTGTTGCGTTAAAGCTGCGCACTGATTGCGCAGTTTGAATGAGATTTCGTTGCTGAAATGTACGACATGGAGTTTGCATTGTTTATTTATTTTTAAAATAAAAGATGTACGTTGGGCTTACTAATGTGCTTAAGGAAATGCTTATGTTTTATTAATTCATTTATTCAGTTCAACATCATTGTTATTATGCTACTTCTTTATTGGTGTAGCCTAATGTTTTCAAAGCATCCATACACATACATGCAGACAGTGGTATTCATCGTCTTCTCTAAAATGTATACCCGATTGCAGTGTTGGTATGCAAATGTAAAAATGCAAATAATTATTAGTATTGCGTGTGTGTGTGTGTGTGTGTGTGTGTGTGTGTGTGTGTGTGTGTGTGTTGTTGTTGCTTAAACAATAGTATATGTAAAGTAGTCATGTCAACAAAATTATAAAAATGATCTAGTGAGAAGGTTGCACATAATCAACAGTTAGAATAACTTCCGTTTTTTTGTTGTTAATTGTTTGCTCTAGGAATCTTCTCTCTTTGAGAATAAAATAATCTATCCTGGTTGACAAATTTATCAGATTCAAATTGATAGTATTGGGATGATATTGGGATCTTAAGGATAAAAAATAGCCTACACAAACACTATAACTGGAATGGGCTATAACTGGAAATAACCGTTCGGTGATTATGCAGGGATGGAAGAAACCCACGAATGCATACTCTCAACGTCACTGCATGAAGGAACATATGGAGGGGAAAAAAACTAAGAGGTGGTTTCTGGTGGCCACCACCGAAATAAATGATCCATACGAGGTGCCTCAGCCTCTGAGCTCTGGAGAGGCTGAGGCAAGGTTTGGAACCGTTTCTCTCCTCTGGATGAGAATTCCAGAAGGTTCTAATGCTGACACTGATGGTTCCATAGCCACACAGTAAGAGAGTACAATAGCAGATGAGTTTTGAGTAAGTCTGTTCAGGGATGGAGCCGGCATCCAGGAAAGAGCGCTTATGTCATTAGGACTTGTGTGAGGCAATGTTGTGAGCCGTCGCCATGGTTGCCTGATGAATGATGAAAAATGTAAAAATAGCGGGCGCTGCCCAAGTCCTTCCAAAAGCAAGCTTTCTCAATGCACTGTGGAAGAAGTGTGAGGTGGCAAAAGGAGAAAAGGAAAGAGAGAGATGAGATTAAAGAATGGCTAATGTGCTGGAGAAGATGTTTAATTCGGTCTAGCTTTTTTGACAAATCCACGGTGTTGGAAAACTGAAATTCCCTGAATGTCACATGAGATCCCCTGAAAATCTACACTGAACAAAATTATAAACGCAACACTTTTGTTTTTGCCCCCATTTTTCATGAGCTGAACTCAAAGATCTAAGACTTTTTCTATGTACACAAAAGGCCTATTTCTCTCAAATATTGTTCACAAATCTGTCTAAATCTGTGTTAGTGAGCACTTCTCCTTTGCCGAGATAATCCATCCACCTCACAGGTGTGGCATATCAAGATGCTGATTAGACAGCATGATTATTGCACAGGTGTGCCTTAGGCTGGCCACAATAAAAGGCCACGTTCAGCTCATGAAAAATGGGGGCAAAAACAAAAGTGTTGCGTTTATAATTTTGTTCAGTATAATTTAGGAATTCTCAGAGGTCTCTTTTTCAATATCTTTTAGTAATGATATGTCAGTGTTTTTTTTTTTGACGTGATTAACTAAATGATGCCATGCAACGTATCTGTATCAATTGCCATTTGTGAGAATTATGTCCATTTGCTTACATGAATACATGAATTTGTATTGCTGTGGGGCTATTTGCACACCGTTTATCACTACTGTGAAATTATTATATTGATCTGAATAGTGCTGCAGTGATTGTTTTTTTGTAGATCAACCTGGAAGTTCACTGACAAAAACCCAATATGATTTTATTCCTTTAAGCTCTATGACCAAAAAAGATTTGATTCATACATGCTTTGTTCATTATGAAAATCTTCAGAAACATCACCACCATTAAGCTTTCAATAACACTGTCAGTCTTTATTAAAAAAAAAAGTCAGAATATTTAGAATAGTTTTCAAGAGTGTGATTATAAACACAATGAGGCGGTGAAAGCAGACTAGTGAGTAGATGAATTTGTTTGGCATGCTGAATTAAAATTTTAATTTATGCATTTGTTAGCAACCGTCTTTTTCAAGAAGAGTAAAAGCTATTTAAAAAACACAAGGAGGAATTACTAATTTATTTTATGTCATAGACTAAAATGTGAAAATATCTTGAGCTTGTGTTCACCACAGACGTTATTTCATGCATTTAACCAAGAACCTTTTCAAAAAACCCATTGAGTTTTTGATGGTGGAATTGGAAATGCTAAAATGCCAACTCATTTCCAGATTTTGGCCTATAAAACTATATCATCCCTGCAGCGCTTCCAAGTTTAAATAAACAGAATTGTGGTGCTTTTGTAGAGTGTACAATAACAGAATTTTCATTTTTGGGTGAAATTTAAAAGGGAAGTGTATATATATTTTTTGCATCATTAGTACCTCCAAACGGAATTTCACAATTAATAACAGGTTTCCTGAACACTCTCCTTTTCTGCCATAGACATACCGATTGTTTCTTTAATAGACAAAAACTCCATAACAGTTTTGGAAGTTGTAAGCTGTGAAAATGACATGATCTATGACCTTTATACAGTGGATGTCATTGTAAAGACTGTAAGTCTATCCCTCACAGCCTCATTTTCATCCACGCTATATGCAATCTAACCTGACTAAAGTCTATTGGTTCGCTAAATCAATAGCTCAGCCGTTATTTGTGCCATGTTGCTGTGGCAGTCTGCATCATTGTGGCGATTTGGCTGTTTTGAATGATTTGTTTCAATTAATAATTTCAAATAGCAGATTCATTGGTTCTTTTTACGTCATCACATATGGAGACATGATTACGTAATTTTTCACACCACCAAACTCTGCATTGGTAGCGTTAGCAATTTTAGCAATGTTTTGACAGCACCACAAAGCCACATAATTCGCTTGCCTGAAGTTGCATATTAAGCTGAGTTAGTAGGAAGTATTATCTAACTTTTACAAAAACAAATACAAAAAGACATCACCTAAGACACTGTTCACAAAATGAGTCTGACAGAGATCTTCTCAGCCAGTATCTGTTACCAAACCTCTGCCCTGCCAAGCTGCCAGTATGTAACCGGAGGAGTTGCGTCTCCGGCTCCGGGGAGAGATGTGGGCATGGCCTCTCACCAGAATGATTAAGCCGCAGGTCTGCCCTTTCTCAAAAAGGTCACGGCTCTGATGGGTTTGACTTGTCAGATAGCTGGCATAGGTTGCACTGGCAGTGCTGAGAAAGAGAGACTTATGCCCACACTGTAAAAAAAATTCCGTAAAATTTACGGTAAAAAACCGGCAGCTGTGGTTGCCGGAATTTTACCGTAAAAAATACGGTAGCAATGTTTTAGGTTTTACGGTTTTAACTTAAATTTACAGTTAAACACCGTAATTTCATTAACTGATATCATGTTAATATACCAACCTATTAAAGTACTGAAATCTGTTTTGTACCTTTGTAATACTGATAACAACCAAATGCAGGTGGTGATGAGAAAGTCACATGATGAACCAAAGCCCATCACAAGCAGCTTTTAAATAATAACATATATAGAAGGTGCACAGTGTCATTCACACAAACGCTAAACACCATCATGGTAACACACATGAAACTGAAATAATGCAATAAACATTCATTTAACAACATTAGGTGTAACACACAACCCTAATATACAAAACTGATAAGAAAAAACTAAGAAGAAACTAGTTATTTCAACAAAAAAACATCAAATTTGAAATGTAACGCAGGGAATTCTGGGAATGTCAATTTACGGGTATTCACTGTAAATTATACGGTATTTTTCACTTCCAAAAACGGTATACTACCGTAAAATTGATGTCCAATACATGTAATGTCCAATACAGTTTTTCACCGTATATAGTAGGGGAATTTACCGTTAACCATTTAACAGGTTTTTACTGTAGCATTTTTACAGTCTTTTACCGTTAAATTCACGGTCATTTTTTACAGTGCACCACTAATCTGTGTTTTTACAAAACATCAGCATGTATCACTGCATATAATTCTGCTTCTTAAAAGCTGAATAAATGGCAGTAATGCAGCACTTATCTTTGGTTTCTTCTTATCTGAGCCTACCAGATATATTTTGATCCTGTTTGTTAAGAGGGTGGTGGTGTAGCTTGGGCAGAGAAAACTGGCTGTCAACAACAACCACACACCAAATCTCTCTTAAACCGCTCTCAGTGCAGTTCATAACCTTTTAATTGCAACCTACCAAATCAAATATTATTATTCACACTTTTTTGTTCCATTTTTGTCCATCTCTTTCAGAGTAAACAAGTGTGTTGGATTTTTATTTTAAATAAAATAAATGAATTAGCAAGTCTGATTCACTGATTCCCACACTGTTACCAGTGCATGAAAGCAAACATTCATAATGCGTCTGCCATTTAAATTGTTGCTGCATAAATTTAAATAGGTAATTGACTCTTCTGCAATGTAATTACTGCAGACATGTCATGACGCCTACACAAAAGACAACCAATCCCAATGCATTTGGATTTTAGGGGTCTGATTTATAAAAACCTGTTGTTATAGTCACAAAGTGGATTTCTATCTCAGCTTCATAAATAGTTTTTTTTTTTCTACTCTTCTGCTATTTACGGCTGTCTAAATAAAGCTTGTGTGCTGCTCTGACTCTAACTAGTGTTGGTAGCCAACAAAAAGGAATTTTTAAAGGACAAAAATACTGAAATGTCTAAAGCGAGCAGCCTTAATAGGATGAAAAGAGTTTGTTTATGATGTTATTAATTTTTTGATTGTGCCTCCATTATGATGGATGAGTAATATTTGTCATTTTGAAACAGGCCGCACAAAAAAAGAAACCTCATCCAAAAAGAGTTTCGGTCAGCAGTTCGTGTTCACACCATCCATTTGAATATATTTCCA